TTAACAGGTTTTCCGAAATCCACAGTGTATGATTTAGTCAATCGACTTAAAGAAAGGTCTATTGTTACGCCACTTCCTATACCTGAAAGACCTCTATTCACAACGCCGTCACCTTGGTCTAATAGTGCAGAACAACAATACCGCTACCGCACTTGTTTTGTTCGCTGAAAACTCAATGCTAAAAGATATCAACAAATTTTTGAAACTCACCTTTTTCCTTACATTTCCAGAGTAAATCGTCAGTCTTGTTTTTAACAGGATGACTCCCCTATCCACAAGGCAAGACCTGTTTGAGCGCCATAGTATTCACATTCTTGATTGGCTCGCTTACTCGCCGGATAAAACCCAATTGAGAATTTGTGGGCAATACTTAAGGGAAAAGTGGAGAAAGAAGTAAATTTGCGGTTAATGAAAAAAAAAGAAGCTTTCAACAATTGACTTTTAAACAATAATTCGTCAGGAATGAGAGGGTCTAGATGATAATCTCCTCCTTAGGTTAGCAAATAGTATGAAAAATCGTGTTCAGAGGTAATTGAGTGGGAGGGAAAAAAGATATATTATTGAAATTTTGTACATAGTTAGTAACTGTATTTGGTAAAATATTTACGAAATTTAAGCATACAAAAATAATGAAAATAAAATTTTTTGTTTGTGAGATTAAATTCCGGATATTTATGACGACCACTGTATTATTATAGGAACAAAATAAGGGAAAACTGATGTATTCATTTCATTTCCTGAAGTGGGAACAAAAATGAATAGGACCTAAGTTTACGCCAATATTTTTTTACACACTGTATGGTCATTACAGCCACCGCATGTTAGCGACACGAAAGTTTGTGATGCTTCGATTTCACACGTATTACCTGCTCTATGATTTGGACATGCATATTGATCATACTCGATATACTATAAAAACATGTAAGTGACAAAGGTTGACTAGCTCTGATATGACGCTTTTCCCGTTATTTTTCTAACCGACTTGTCTTTTTTTTTTTTGTTCAAACACGTTTATATATATATTGGCCAGTTGTTATTCTTAGACACCTCTATTCTATCGTGTAAGCGCGTTATTGCGTAACTTGACAATAAAGTCGTGCTGGTTTATGTATTCATTGATTTTCGTAACGCAGAAAACGATTGACTTTTAATCTTGGCGTCCTGTTCGGCCTATTTAGTTTTGTGGCAGCCAGCATACCTCATGTCCGAAATATGATTCTAAGTCTTGTTATTTCTCCGCCCCTGCAAATTTTCTTTGCGTATTTATAAGTAAAGGGTCGAGATAACCGTTTTATGTAACCGAAAATGAATATTAAAGAAACAATGCCATGGAGTGATGCTCTGGCTGTGGCTTAGACTCGAGTTACATTATCAAAGACGTTAGAAAATTCAACAGAGTTTTATTAATGACTCGAACGGTTGCTCGTTATTAAATTTTACAGGGGCGAACAGAGGCTGCGAGCAAGCAAATTTCTTTATGTACAGACAGCAATTGACAACGTTCATTACATTATTTGCAAGAAACCGTTCGATGATTAATTATATTAGAAGCGATAAAATATGTACACATTTTGTGATGAGTTTGCTAGAATATGATAATGTCGGTCAATTTACCATCACAACTACTTGGGGGATTCAATGTTAACATTTACTTCCTTCTTTTGCCTTCGCCTATCCCGACAATTTCAATTGGTAAATTTCCAAAATTTATGTCTTCAAAAGATAGGAAACTCATGTCTCCCTCATCGACCAACGCAAAGACTATATTCTCGTTGTCTTCACTCAATAATTTTACAAGTTCATAATACGATGGAGAACTAGCCTCTTCAATGCTATGAAAATCAATCATCAAGTAAATAAACGACATCGTGTGAGCTTATGCGGAAAGCATGGTTGGTTTAATTCTCACCTGACAACGACTATCTTGTAATCAGGTGGTCTAGGCTTTTTCTTACGGAAACTCGGATTCGGTTTGTACACGTAAAACGATATCGAATAAGTGGATCTTTTCCCCTCAGTTGACGCGTTGTCGGTAATACTATCGACTTCATCATAACGCCTTACTATCTTTAACTTATTGAAAACCTCACCTATATGGATAAATGTCAGCTTTACCCTTTACAAGAACAGAATAAGAAATGCCTGAAGATCCGATCACTAAGCTGTTCTTACTGTAACTTGTCTCTGTTCCATCGACTATAGGCCTAATCCTCTCTTCCTTTTTACCGTTTTCTTTCTTTGTTCCAGCATTGGTCCGATACCATCCTAGCATTTCCGCTCCATACCTCAACGGTATCCTCAAGACCAGCTCAAGCAACCACGAGGTCAAGTGTAATAATCTTCCCAGTGTGGGTAGGAAGAAACTGTTGTATACAATCCCTGAGGGACTTGAGCATGGCTGTGTATCAAATGAAGGACGAGCTTGAGATGGAGAGGGAAGTTTTCTTTTGACAAGTTGTTTTTGAAACGGTCGAATGACTGTATAGCCCAATCGTTTCAAGTAGGCGTAAACCTTGGAGGTGTGTGATTAAAACCATATAGATAAAAAGTCTTGGAGGTTAACACAGAAACGTGAGTTATTGTCCTGGGTGTGATCATATCATATTTCAATCGCATTCACCGCTAGCCCACCTGATACTGTTCCAACGTCAACCATCCCTCTTCAGCCTCTTTTCCATTCCCAATGAAAGTCGCATAACCTTGTTGAATGCTCATCTCTACGCCGCTGCACTCGACAGTCATTGCACCTCTTTCAAGAAGGAAGAGTGTTTCTTCAGGTCGAAGAAAGACCTCATTGTTGATGGAATGTCCCATTGTTTGAGTTATATTCCCGCGGGGAGCAAATAAATGGCATTTGTGCGTCGTGGGATCATAGCGTGCTCGGGCAAGTGTTTTACTGCGTTGATACGTTAGATGTGAAAGAAGATGGACGAACAAGGGATCAGAAATCACGAAGTGATGACAAATAGTAATGAAATTTAATAATAGTGCTTTTTACCTCGATCCTTTACGTTCTTCAGAAAGAACTTTTAAAAAAGCAGCTGGTGATCGATCGGGTAAGGTTTCCGAGTCCTGTGTTCCATCATTCTTTGACCTACGATGCATGTCAATCAGTATGTTCAAAATGGAGGAAGATGTCTCACATGCGCATATTATACTATTGACCATGTGATTCTGCACCAAGTTGGGTTTTTTTAAAAAAAAAAAAAAAGCTTTTCTTCATCGTATGGTAGGTTTCGATCGTATGAAACAGTCTCCCACATGATACGCAATCATCATTTATTGTTGGCTTAACGTTGTGTGTGTTAACATTTCTGTGTAGGGTCAAGATAACAGGATGTAAGCAAGTTTTAAAGGTTAAAATTGATATAATCATAACACTTGGTGCTATGTACTGCTAGCTTGATATGCATTTCAATGATGTTAAATAAAGAAATTCCGGACTATATTAGTTAGCTTTTTAATAACACGTGCTATGAAATACTCTGCGACGAGTCGCAGAATGCAAGGTATTTCTAATACCAAGTTAACTAAACTGGGTCAATGATTGGTTCTGTGTATTTAGCACTTCGACTAGCGATTGTGTGAACATCCTGCATTCAGTTCGCCACTATTCATATAACACATAAAAATAGTCAAATGGACAGTGGCGTATATGATCGAAGAGCCGAAAGAATCTGCATCGAGACTTATGCGTCTCTGTGAAAAGCGTGACATTATACAATTCATCGTGAAATTAGACTGATAAGGTTTCATTGTTTTAATTAAGTAAAGGTCAATGTCTACAGCACTGTTGCGAGAGGATTAGTTGCGAAATTGTCCGAAAGAAAATGTGTATTATATAAAACAAATTATTATCAATTTCCCTCTTATCGCAAGCAAGCTATGTGATCGTAAATTGTATGCAGTCCACATAGGGTTTCTTTTCATGGCTGTCCAGTACTCTATAGTAAAGTTATCTATACTGTCTAAATGTCATCTCCTTGCTGCCATCCTAGCTCTAGCTTTTAATCTTTGCTTCTCTAGCATCTCCTCTCGCAAATCTTCCTTCCTCCCAATCATAGCACTCCGTTCTTCCTCATCAAGAATATCTAATCCAGTAGCTTCCATATCAGAATCAGAATCATAGTCATCGTATGTCGTCCTCCTCCTACTTGGAAATAGTTCACGGATAGCCTTTTGAACTTCAATTCTATTGGCTACCGGTTCATCATAAACATGACTACGAGGCCGTGGAATATCTCTTTTCGCCGGCAGCGTCTTTCGTATTGAGCTCGCATCTCGTCGCATTGAATTTGTTAGCTGTCGAGTTGGAACGTTGTCTGATTTTATTCTTTTATTCATTCTTGTTACCGATGTGCGATCCGATAAGATATCGCTGGCAGAACGTTTCTTGTTTGAAGACTCGACTCCGCCTTGCGAATCCTTGAACAGAGCGAACAAACGTCCTGGTGCGGCTGGAGGGCGTTTCCCAACTGGGTGTTTAAGCGTTGTTTGTAACATTGACTTGTTTTTTGAAACAGATGGTTGGGCTATTGGTTTCATAGAAGTGTCTGTGCGTTTGGATGATGCAGTCATGGATGGTGGGCGTGATACCGTACTCTTCTTTAAAGGTATGGTTGCCTTCTGCGAGAGTGTTGCCGAAGAAACAATGCCAGTTTTTGTTTGACTTGCCGCTCTCATGTTGTTTTGACTTGGCATTCTCGAATTAATCGAAGTCGTATTTACAGCCACACCTGATCGTCGCTTTAATATCTCAGAGTTCGGTGTCACCGGAGGTCGTCTTCTTCCGTCTAAATCCAGTACTACCGACGTCCACTTCGACTTGGGCATTGGTGTGGCTATACTTCCAAATTTTGTAGGGCTAGCGGGTCTTGCAGGAGGTCTTGGCTGGGATTTTATTCTTGTTGTCTGGCTATTGACTGGGTAGGACATACTAGGAGTTGTTAGCCTAGACGCTGACGACGTTAGTGATGACTTGGTAGTAGCGTATCGGAAAGAGGACGGTGTGGGTGTTGACTTTCTTGCCGTCTTTGGTGAAGAGGGCACAGTTTTTGCCGCCGTGCCATTCGATTTCGATGCCGGAGCAGGTGACTTTTTTCCCAAAGGAATGAGCTCAAAAGGGTTGAATTTGGTCTTGAAATAGGTTCGTGCGTCCATCCCCTGTTCGATTTCCTTTGGAGGTTTTCCATAGGGCTTCGGCTTGTAAACATCCGACTGCATCTCGATTGGCCCTACGATGAGAATAGTTGATGAACTTGTACTAATCTTATGACGTGGCCACCATACTGGAGATACAAGTAGTAAACACTTACGAAGCGACCGACCGAAAATGTTCACCTTTTGCGAAGATGAATCTGTAGCCGGAGCATCTTCGTACGGAGTTTCGATGTTTGCAAAAAAATCAGTGTCAACTTTCTGTAATATAATTAGATTAGTATCAAACTTTAATGTTACATCTCGAGCTGAAAATACTCGTCCGTAATCAGAGTAGCCCATCCCTCTATTGAATAATCCTTCCATTAATAAGCTTTCGGTATATATAGAATAATCGGATGTGTACTTCCAGCTACGTACAACATCTCAATTATAAGCACATGGGCTGCGTGCTCTTTATAATGTATATTCATCTTATATCTATCTGCTTGTCTTTAGTGCTTGACTGCATCGTGGGGAATGGAACAACCATCAGCTATAACCTGTCTGAGCGTCGAAATAAATTTCTTGAACTCGTTGCTTTGGAGGAGATAGCTCACATTCAACCTTTGATTTTTATGCCGGTTATAGTAGATAGTTGTTCTATAGTACTTTCTCATAACTATAAGGACGTACCGCCACAGTTCTAGAGGTTTTGCCATTTTTTCTGACAGATGACATGGCCTTCTTATCAGCAGCTCCAGCAAACTCCGTCTTTTGGGACAAAGCCTTGCTTGCTGATGCCTTCATTTTATGTGTAGTATTGTCCATTTTTTTGCTTTGTCCCAGTTATATATAATGCTTAGACGAAAGTATGAACAAGGAATTCAAAGAAACAATGCCACGTTTGACGTTGTACAAGGTTGTGTCATGTTCATGGTATTTAGATTGGGGGGCGCATGTGTCGATATGTCCGCGAAAATGGCTGTATCAAACCAACTTTTACCGTTAGGTAAAATAGTCTGTTTATAATATGCTGTTATTAACAAGTCGCAATAACATGAGTCATGTCGTTTAATAGAACTTATTGATAAGTGTATTGGCTCGCGCATATGGGTAATAATGAAGAGTGAGAAAGAGTTTGTTGGGACGTTGTTGGGATTTGACGACTATGTCAGTATCCTTTTTAACTGGATATTATTGTACGATTGTTTGCTTGAGAATATTTACTCCTTAGTTCCATTGATATTAACTTGTAGACATGGTACTGGAGGATGTAACTGAATAGTGAGTATCAGGAAAGTTTTTCCTTCAAACCATCAACGTTTAGCTAAATTTGTTATTGACCTAGTGACAATACTGCTGAAGGCAAGAAAGCGTCGAAACTTGATCAGATCCTTTTAAATGGGAACAATATCACAATGGTGAGTGCATTTAACATAATTTTATTACGAGTTTATATGAATAAGCGTTCAATCGAACACCTCTTATCACAAATCTAGTTGATTCCTGGTGGAGAAGGACCAGAAGGGCAGTCAAATTGAAACAAAAATGTAGTTGCATTGAAATCATACAATGCGTATGCGGTCAGATGCCTATAGCATGCTGTCTTGTCTCCGTTCCTAAGATAATTTAGCAGCCTAAGAGAATACAACCCGACCTGTTAGTTCAGTTACACGTAAATAAGAATCAATAGCATGACATCCGCACCTTTTCATACAACGACTCGACAACATTTCCCATTTGTTTGAGAGTTTCCAGAGAAGCCTCATAAGTTTTCTAAATAAAAAAAAACAACAAGTTAACCCACTTTTCAGTTAAAAACGGTATTTATTTAGTCAACAACTTACGTCTTGCGGTAGCCCATCAAACACAATCAAGCATCCGGCTCCTTGATCTAAAATTCCGTGGAAGACATTATCTAATATCATCTGCGATAACTTTGTCTCGACCTGTCCAGTCGACAGCTTCACCATCTCTGCTACGTGCGATATCTCTACTCTTGAGAATGGTTCTATGATACGAACAAGATTTTGTTCAAGCAATGTATCATAGAGTGCGTTGAGATGCGAACGAATGATAGGATCATTCTGTAATTCTGTGAGCAAAAAATTTAGAATGTTACTTGACGTGTAAAAAATGAAATACTACATATTCCGTGTACAAGAAATCTCCATACCGTCTCTATATGTCGCTAGAGCCTTTTCGAATTCGTTGAGTGAACGATTTTGATGGGCAGTGGCGACTGCTTTCATTGCATCAACTTCGCGCCCAGCATAACGAAGGGCAAGCTTGCCATGAATGATGGCATGCACATCTTGCGACTAAAAGAGCATAAATGGCTCACTAAAGATCGATCGTATTATAACATAATAATATGCAATAAACCATTCCCATACCAAGTTCAGCATAATTTTACAAAGAAGCATATATTTCAATGCCAAAATTGCCCTGGGGTCATCTTGAGAAGAGTATCCTTCAAGTGTTTCATAAAAATATGAATAACTGATGACTGTGAACTTTGAGTACGTGATACCGCGGTAAGAGCCGATGGATAGATTCAATATGCTTACGCTGTCTTATAATCCTTATCCTCGGCATGCAGAATACCAGATTGCATATCCAGAGCTGCTTGAAGAAGGGGCGGACAATAGATAGCATTCGCAGTCGTTCTTGCTGACGTGAGTGCCGCCTATTTTGAAACACGAACGATAAGCCATTTTCTTCTCAAGGACTGAACATAGATCCGCTTATATTTACCCTTGATTTAGGTAAATTGCGAAGAGCGTGACACACTCGGCTTTCCAGTAATTGAACTTCCACCAAAACCATCTTATCGTCGAGACGTTTAAGTTCTTTTAGCAACGAATTGATCAAAGTGAGAGCATCGTGATACATTTTGTTATCAAGATATCTATATTAAAAGTAAAATTTATAAATCCTGCTAGATCGTTTAAAAGGCCAACAATGGTTATACGTACAAGGCTATCAAACGCGTTTCCAAAGACTGTTTTAGAAATATGCGCTTCTCTTCGATGCTCCATTGGATTATTTCTTTGCATATCTCGATTTGGAGAGGAAGTGTATTCGGTATCTCGGAAAAGAGACCAATAAGCGTCTTTACTGGAATAAAAAACAACAGTTAATATGATTTGCGATGAAATAAAAAGAGAGATCAATTCAAATGGGACCAACCAATTTTTGCCGTCTTTGCTCTTGCAATCGAAGACATAAACGTCCGTGAAGATCGAATCAATTGCGATAACTGTTCAGCTTTTCTACAAGAATGAAGTCTATTAGAAGAATATTTTTCGCAAATTACTATCGGTTGATAAAGTTGAGGTACACAAACATACCTGTGATCACGGTAAAGCTCGCCCAATTTTACGAGAGCTTGTTCTTGTTGCCTGATCACAGTCTCGTCGTTGCCTTTACATAATCAATAGGATAGACATCAATGCACTTATTTACAATGCATTGAATGATATCAGAAGATATAAGGCGCACTTTTAAGACCTCTTCCAAAAATTTTGGATAATACTAACCGGCATTCTGTGCCAGTATATTCGTATATAGCAGCTCGGCTTTTTCTGGAGAGGTCTTTGCAAGATCTTCCGCTTCTTTTAGAGTCGCAATAGAAGACATTTTCGTAACAGCACAAAGATTTTTTTAATGCTTGCCCATATTAATTTAAACGTAAGAGCCGTCGGGAGTGTCCGAAATTGCTTACGAATGCCGGGATATTTATCGGGTCCTTCGTAACGATGAGCTGACGTTATCACCGACGTATATAAAAATATTTACTTTCTATTGAAACGTTAACTGCGTTATTACTATAAACAAATGTTCTATTGTGTGCCTGTAATTAAGTCTTGCATTAGTACTAGTATTAGTATGCAGTTCAAGGATATGGGTCGTATTATATATATTACGATAAAGCAATTTCGAGATCTGTGCTTTATTAAAGTTGGTAACACTGGAAGAGTCGAAATGTCAACAGAACTAGATGAGCAATTGGCTTTGATGGTTCGATACTTTCATAATAACCACAAATTGCTACCTGTTGATCAGAATGCAACAGCTTAAACTGGGCTTTAGCGAGCATCTCGTTGTGAATAAAAGTTCCTCGCGATAGTTGATCAGAATGCGGAGCGTGAACGTTTTGTGCTCAATCGTAACTGTAATGAGCGGTAGCATCAATGCTACATTACCTCTCGTCATGAAGTGTTCATCTACCAAATTTCTTTGTTCTTCTGCTAGTTTCATCTTTTTGTTGTAATAGTTTCTCTCTGACTTAACCTTAACCAGATGTTTTTTGTATTTTTCAATTGAGTAGTACAGTTGACATTTCTATCACCACGTATTTCAGCATAATTTCCAACACTCCTCTTTATGGATGGTTATTTTGTTTTCCATCGTGGCACTTTTTTACATTATCATGTACACGCGGTATACTGCCAGACGTTTTCGAAGTAAGTTTGACCAATTCCCAACATACTGAGATACGTTTTTTGAAAAAGTGGTGTATTGCGATCCCAATAATAAAAAGTTATTTTATTAGTGCGCGTTTTCTTTTAAGACGTCGGCTGGCAGTAGATTTCCCCGCCATTCATCAGCTGGGCCATTGAAAATATATCTTGTTCTAAGAGAACTTGAAATGCCTCGCGTAATCCAGCAAATTTGTTCTCAGAATCATTTTTGAGCAACCACAGTTGCAACCTATCTCCAAGAACGGTAAGGCTTTTTTATAATCGTATACTGGTATTATTACCAGCTCATTAAGCTGTTTTTGTTCGGTCACTTTTTTTTTCCATCCATGAGCAAATTAGTCATTTTCCAAACCACTGCCAGCTGCTCAAGCCAGCCTCACCAGAAACACAGGCTCAATGCAATACCTGCTGTTGAAGAGAAGTCAAAAGTGAGCACATCACTTGCCATTACATTGGTGATGCATTATTTTTATTCTGTCCATCCGCGTTGTCACAAGTAATCTTTAGACATTTTTCGCCTTCATTCAATTTCTTAACTCCACAGTCCATCGAATACCATGCTCAGCGTACCATAGCCTATTACATGTGCATTAGGGTCACGTTACGATTTGAAGATGCCAATCATATAAATCACTTGAGTTTTATGCACCGAAGGTGGTTAGGCACCTTTGGGGGCGCGTCATTACAGATGTCTTCACATTTATTGTCTCTGCTCTAATGCATAACAAGGTTATATGATTGCTTTATCCACTTGGCAAGGTCAACATTACTAGTGTTTGGATTCGTATTTTTGTACGTAATCAATGTTGTTCTGTTAGCCACATAAATCGGTTCTTGGACTCATAATTTGAATATAAGGCGCTAATTGGTGGATAATAATAACTTGCGGAGCCATCATATTTTAACAATTTCAACGTGCTATCGTTTTCGAGACCTGCAATAACATCGCGATAGACTGATTTGTAACTAGTTTCGGCTGGTAAAAGTAAGCAATTGAGTAATGCGATTAACGTACCAGGACTTGCCAGTCCATGAATTTTCTTCACGGCGGCAGCAACGGTTGTATGTTTTCCATTGAGAGCATATAGTGCCTGATGTGGCCTATATACACAGCAGGATCGCAAAAAAGTGAACAACAATATTATATGTAGAGACATACGCGTTATCAATCACAGACAATAAACTTATTATTACGTACGTCCCCCAGCCAATCGGTTGGTAACCTTGGAGAATTGTACCCCGGCACTCTTTACATTACCGTGAACGCGTGGTCTTATACCATTCGTCGCTAGGTGGTTTCTGACGTTTTCCAAATGAATGCGACCAATTCCTAACATATTACTGTATTGAGATACGTTTTCTGACAAAGTGGCGTATTGCGATCTCAATAATAAAAAGTTCTCTTACTAGTACGCGTTTTCTTTTTAAGACGTCGACATTCATTGCTTTCAGTTGGCCATTAAAATATATCTTGCTCGGACCTAGAGAGGGCTTGAAACGCCTCTTCTTTTGGAAGGCTGTGTGGTTAGGAAAGTGAGACGCAATCGATGGATTCGAGTGGCGAGATGTCAATTCCTATGTATTGTAGTTATTTATGACAGTTCACAGCATTCTTACCGTCTGCGTGTTCCCGAACAGTACTGACAACCGCTCGTGAAAAGCATTGCTTTCTTCACCCATACAATTAGCGCGTTATATCTATCGTATCGCTATCACATGACACACGTTCGTGGCACAGATTTTACTCCGCCCATAAGGGCCAACTCCCTCATCTCTCCAAGCTCTTTTGGCTGGTTGCCGAATCGTAACACTTTCGTATAGATCTGGAGGCGAAAATACGTTAACTGTCCGGAAATAGTGTCTATCGCGATATGTTTTTAGATTGGATAACAGAATTAGGACTGCTCGAACACAATCCTGGTGCGATTGCAATCATTCTCTTATTTCTTCAATAAAGTATCAACTTTCGTCTAACATTACCTCAATCGTTTTGCAATATGAAGATAGTGGTGTCTTGTCAAAGTTTCCTCTGAATGTTCAGAAAAGTCTCATCTCAGAGATAACTCAAACACTCCTTCAAACACGTGATTCTTCGCTTTTACCTTCACCAGCTCACGTACAATGGGTAATGGAGGCCGTCGGGCAAGGATTTGCCCTGCCACTGGAGGAAATGGATATTACGGCCAATTCAAAAGAATTGTATTCTCAATGGCTATTTGAGCCTAACTGCCGACCAGCGGCTATAAGGGATCTTTATGGAAAACCCGAAGAACAGCGATTTTGGCAGGTTTGTCAATTACATTTATTTAAGAAACAAGTTCAATTTCATAATGACCGTGTCTGTTCTGCCTTTAGGTGATATTTCATCACTATTCCCTACTCTTTCGGCCGCGTACATCCTCTAGTAATACATCCCAGACATCCACACCGACAGCGCCAAATTTTCCAGCGAGTGCCAGTGCCTTGTCGAGTTACAACGATTTCCAACGACATGTAGAGCTATGTAAAGGGGTTTTGATAGTATTAACGATGGCAGGTCGCACATTAGGATCTCAATTTTCAGAAGAAACCTGGCGAGTACTTTTGAAAGTTGTATTAGGCATCACGGATTATTTGCTTCGTGAACATATATCGACTGTAAGCTCAGACAACAACTCTGATAGATACGTGACTATGAGTATGGGTGATGAACTATGCGAACATTTACTGCGTGTGCTTTTTGAGCTATGGCTCAGATCTAAAATCCAGGAAGTCGATATGTGGGACATTCTGCAAAAGTGTTTTAACAAATGGACACATAGACAACAGGCCATTAATCAGTGGAATGCAGCTATTTTAGGGTTAACGCAGAGAATAGTCAGAATATTATATGGGCCACGAGAGGGGGCTGAGGTTGTCAATATTTCGGTTGGTGGATATAATGTTGGATTAGATTTACCGAACGAATATGTTCGCTATGCGTGGTATAGAATGATATATTTGATTGATAATCCATGCAGGTTGCCATCAACCAATTTTGCATTGGCTATCAATGGTGTTGGACGTATAATAGAAGTATTGCATTCAGTGGGAACGTCTAATTATAACAAAGTAGGAAGCAATGAGGCTGAAAATTCGCTTGATTCTATGGCGAATGGTAACGCCATATTACGTATGTTTGCTTCCTGGCTTTTTGAAGCATGCTCCATGACGCGAAAGGATGCTGATGCTCAACAAGGAAGAGCCGAAGCGTTTGGTATTCTATGTCGAATATTTTGCACACCTCAGCCCCGCGAGACATTGCATCGTACTTACATAACGCAGTTCTATCTTGCTTTAACTGAAGGATTACGCGTAGATAGTTGCTTGCCAACTATTCTAATGAACACTACTTCATTATTTGCAACTGATCTTGAAGGCGTAAGAATGATGGTACCAGACTTTGTTGTAGGCATTAAAATGGTATTACCCAAGTTGGCATCCAACTTTAAGACGCATCTTACACTCGAAGAATTACGGCTAGCGGCAATCCGTGCAGCAGGCGCCATAATGTGTTTACCCAATCATTTTGAAAAGGTTTCTCTGAAAGAGAATTGGGATCTTGGAATGCACCAAAACGGTGATAAAGTTGTCAACGATCCAGACGAAGTGGTTGTACACGAACTAGTAAGTTTGTCTTTGACATTTCTGTGTTTTCATTGGATAGGATGTTAAACTATAACATATACAGATACGTGTCTTGTACTCTGAAGAAGACTTGAGAGAAAAAATCCATAAAGACCCATCAACCCAACCGTTCACAGCTGTAAGTTGAGGTTTTCCTTGGAAAAGAGGCTAGCAGAATCATCAGATATATGTTATTGGTAATGGTCGTCTACTTTTACGCCAACAAAAAGATACTCATTACGCTTATTCTATGCTAATAACAAATGTATATTACAGTTGAAATACCATATCTTGGAGCTGCTTCTTCTGTCGCTAAAGACTGAGACGTCGTCATATAATCTTCGATATCTGCTTCACCTTATTAACGTCTACGTAATTGAAGACGTTGCCTTCTGTCCCGGACTAGTCGGTGCCGTTGTGAAGTCTATACAAGAAATGGTGATTGTTAGTTAATACATTATTTCGACCGTTATTGAGTATAACATGCTAAAGTATCAAACTCACTTGCAGTTGTTGACAATGAATCTTCCACCAGATGTGACGGCCTGTGCTTTTGACGTTCTAAAAGACTTTGTAGGATTGTATCATTACATTCAGAGAGACAGTCGGGTTAGTAACAATGTTGACAAAGGAAGCTCGCTAAGATTCGTAAAATTTTTATTGACATGTTTGCCACATAGAATTGTACCAGGGAACTTGTGTTGGTTTTTTCTCGATATATAGACAATATGCTCGCAGGTGCATGTGGTGGATTGGTACGTATCATTGGAAAATATTTATTATATGAATTATTCGTCTAAGTCAATATTACCATTTGGACGCTAGGCTGTAACATACCATCTGGTTGAGAAAGCATATGATTGTATGATGCGTTGGATACTCGTTGGACAATGGATAGTCGGTGACCGTGACTGTCATGAGGCAGTTATCACGACTATTAGTCGGGGAATCTCCATCATCACAGACGAGGATGACAGCGCTTCCCAGGCAAATGCGCAGACGGATAAGAAAAAGAATCGGAAAGAAAACACACCAAATAAGTTATTCATACAGCGAGGGAATAAAGCTGCCACATCAAGCAATGAAAGTATTCCGAATAACAGCGCATCTGCTCGATGTGGCAGGAAAGGAGAAAGTGATGTTAAACTTGCAGCTGAAGTAGCAATGGCACAATTTGTCAACCATTTGGGCAACTTTCCAGCATGGGGGGAGAATGTTGGCCCAAGCAGAGTATCTACTCTGTTCAAGAATGATTTGAACCTCGCACATGCACAACTTACGGCATCGCGAGAGCTCAACAGAACGACCACGGAGCTTGTTCGTTATTTCATGATTGATGGTCGGGTCATATTGGGGTTTGTTGAAATGCCCAAGGATGCCGCATGGCTTGAGCGCGTAGCTAAGGGTCAAGAATTGGATGATAGTAAGGATGCACCATCAGTCATAATAATAATCCGTGATTCAACTGGAAAATATTCCTGGACAACACACATGCGTTACAAGCCAAACTCTCAACAAGACAATGAGCATCCCAAAGATATACCAAATTCACCGCCTCTCAGTAATGATTCCGGGCCGTCATCGCCTACCCGGGCTGAGACACCATCATATTTGTTGTTCAACAATCAAAGCACTAATAATACGTTCGACGTGCCCGACGTAAATGCATATGCTGAAAAACATGCCATACCTACTTTAGATAGCTTGCTGGATAAACAAAATGAGCGTAAGAGAGCGTTTAACGTTGTTAAGAAATTAACACAGAAGATAAAAGAAGTCGAGGAGCGTGTATTTATCGAAAAGTGGAACAATAAAAGTCAGCAGAGGTAATTATTTTTCGTATTTAGCTATATCTTTATAAGCGTACTGAATTCTTATTGTCCTTGTATTATTAGTTGTAAGGCAGTTCCGCCGGGATTGAATACATATTTAGAGAGGTAGGAAATGACGCATTCACACATAGTATCTATCAGTATCTAATGTTGTGTTTACAGCCCGCAGGTTTTCCGGCTATTTCTCGCGCAAATGGGGTCATTTAGCCTCGAAAATCGCCATCGCGTCATTCCTTTGAGAATATCAAGAAGATTCATAGATGATTTAGAGAAATTGGATGGGTTCCACGAGTAAGTATAGACAGCAATTCTGCTTGGGTTACCAAGTGAGCTTCTATTGTGATAAACCGCTTAATATAAATTACTCAATGCTCATTAGACGAGACTACATGACTGCCTCAGTATATTATGCCAGTTCCGGAGAAGTCGACTACGAAAAATTGATCGATCTTGAAAGTTATGACGATGATTTTGAAAAGTTTCTAAATGCGCTCGGATGGCCCGTACGTATTTTGTTATCTTATTCACTTTCTACTATAAACTTACATTCCTATTATCTTCGCAGATGGCACTCGAAAGTCATCCAGGATATAAAGGCAAACTGAGTCACAAGATCTGTAAAACAGCTCCGTACTTTGCTGACAGAACAGTCGAAATTATTTTCAATGTACCGATCCTCATCCGCAAACCCGAAACAAATGCTGATTATGCTGGATCTCTCACAGACATCTTTCGAAATGTAGCAGCCGATGATTACGTAGTCATAATATGGATAGAAGATTTAAGAGGCATGCATAGCCTTCCACATAAAATAGGAATGTCAGGATTGGTTTACATTTGTGTACATCCACTACAGAATGCTACAGGATTGTATTGGATAAAGATAATTACTCCTACGCTTTTGCATTCGGATAAGAAGATTGGGAAAGGGAAAAGCGTGATATGGAATGTATCTACCAAATTGGCAGAAAATCATCTGGTGAGTTTTTTGTATTGGGAAATAGCTTAATTTCGGGATGGCAATGTCGTATTTCATTGTCGTTAAAAGGAAATTGACAATTATGACGTCAATTACAGTATTTTGGTCCATTGGTGGATGGTATGATTGTAAGCCGACATGCGCTTGGACTTCTTGTTCGGAACACTGCAATATCAGCTCACGAAGCATGTCGGCGTTTATTGGAAAATTACAGGAAACCGTAAGTAACTCGCCCTATTCTTGGTTCAACGTAGCTGATTACGTTTACAAACTATAATCGATCAATTGTTAGTTATGCCGTCCGACGGCACTTTATTGAAGAAATACACAGACGTCATAAAGGCAGCGGAACTATATCTGAGTATGTTTCCAGTTCGTGTTAGTATGATAGAATCTTTACGCGTGATTACTGACGGTAAACTTTATGACAGGTTTTACAGTGACATTTTTGTATCACGGTGAAACAGAAGCATAGAGGATAGAAACTGTATAAAATGTATTATTCTTTATATCCCTGAAAACGCGCTGGCGCGAAAATCAACACGTATGATGAGACTGGATCTTGCGCGCGAAAAAGTTTAATTTTATGGACTACTTCTGTTTTCATATTCAGTCTAACCTCGAAAAAAGATTCTGTGGTCAAGCCTTGAGGAATTATAATTATTTATATAATGTAAAGAAGGCAAAGTGTATTTTGTGTAATTTCATATGTTGTAACTTGGTATTAATTATGTAAACGGAAACTTCGGGAATCATTCATCTTCGCTGTGTATGTAAATGGGTTTTCTATAATCAATAATTCTGATAATTTGATGAATGGCTGCCTACTACAGTCTGTCTCAAAAGTTACCGACCACCCTCTACATTTGCAATAAATGAGAAGTAAAACGCAAGATGTTAAACGGATTACCTTGGGCTGAATTTTATCCTACGGAAAACGTTAAAATTAGGTTATGCGACTCAACTATTTAAAGTTAATCCACATACAAATTTAAAAGCGCAAAAAAGCCACCATCAAGATTGCCCGAATATCTTGTTCTTGTAGTAAAGCAATGCAATTACCGTGAAATTGATACAGAATTTAATGACAACAAAATTTATTATTATATATACTAATGACCCGTTCTTTCTTGGTCAATAGTGAGGGATACCAGCTTTCTTGGATTTCATAGTCAAGTGTATTCGATTTGAGAATTTTTTTTTGCTGCTAAATTTTACACGAAAATGCTTCATAAACACGTAATGCAGAATTCAATAAAAGATTATTTATTATGTAACAAATAATGAACAAAATAATCGCGTAAAAAAAAAAAGCTGTGATCATTTCTTTTTCATACGTTTGTCGACCCATATCAGAATTGTTATACGTGATAATCAAAATACTCGATAACATCACGTCATGTCAATCAATAATAGTATGCTCTCGAACAAAAACTTTATTTATGAATAGTGAATAATTTAATAAAAAGAAATATTGAACCCGTTTAATTCTTAATTAATATTAATTAAACATAAACTACTGTTAATTGTTATCCCTTCACTGTAATTCTTGACATTATTTGGGCGCCCTATATTTTTCCTCGAATACCCGGTTACATCGAATAAAGTCTAAACGGTGTGTTCCCAGATGAGTTAAATGTTTTGCCGCATGAACCTGCAGCTTAACATCTGCCAAACCCCTTGGGAGATCGACAGGTTGGATCAAAACAACTTTATCACAAACCTCCTTTGCCTGGCAATTACTTATCAATTCCCGACACATTATAGGAATTGTGCCATGAATATTTGGATTAGTATATGCTGGCGGTGGATGGCTAAGGCTTTGTCTGTAGCAGTCTACTCTCCAAGTCCTCTACTCTAGTCATGCTAATATAGGAAGAATTAGTAATAAGGTATATAAATCCTATATTATAAGTTTTTAAATAAATATATAGTGTCTCAGCAATTTTATTCGCTCCGTCGTGTGTTAAGAAATTATAAAGTTCCTCATCTGGTCCAAACACTGTCCAACCCACTTGTATCGAGGACACCGGCTGCTATAGGTCGTAGGGGATTCACCACTTCCCCATTCTCATGCATCTCATCAAGTAGTTTATGTCGCGGGTGGACTACATTATTGTCGCGGGAGGATTATATTATTGTCGCGAGTGGATTACGTCCCCCTTTGTCCTCAATTGTTGGAATAATCTTCTATAAATTATTAATTTTATAAATCAACAAATAATATTATATTAATATAAAATGACAATCAATCATTATTGTCACCTACCAGATTATTCCTTATTTCGCTCCCGCTCCCCGCTCCCAACTCGACATGGTAACCGCCTCAATTCCTTCAACAGTAAGTTACGCACCCTCTCGCGTTCTGTCTTCGCCCCAATTCCTTCAACAGCAAGTTACGTACCCTTTCGCGTTCTGTCTTCGCCTACACAAAATTGTGGTAAGAAAAATATAAAGTTTTCTAGCACACTACTCACTCAATCATACTGTACCTTAACCCTTTCTTATGCTGCTGAAGCAGCTCTCTCAGCGGTTTCCTGATATGACTGCTCCATTATCTACAATACGTTCAAATATTAATATTAATATCGATTCTTAAATGACAACGATATCAATGTGTTAGCCTTTGCGACTGCTTGAGCTACGCCAGTCTAAAAAAAACATATAAATTGTGAAAAACAGAACTTCCGCTATAGAAATTGGATGTCAGAAGCTATATAATATGTTTTCATATTCAAAAAATTAATATCTCTTTCTTCTCGCTTACAAACGCAGCTTAACCTATGGGTACCATCACGAATAATAAGGAGCATGGCATGAAATCCGGATCCATCATTTCAATCAAGTTTAGTGAAATAAAAACAAAACTTACAGCATTCAAGTTGCTAGCTTTCTGCCTATGTTGGGAGAGTGTATTTTTCAGACTTTTCCGCTGGTCCATAGCTGCATCTACCTCACCGATATACCCTTGCTTTGCAGCTCTGTTATCTAAGTCTGTATTGTTCAATTTCTGCCATACTAACCATGCTTCGAATGTGATGACTTTCTCGTTGGCACCAGCGTTGTTGATGAAGTAGTTAGACATTTTGATTTTGTTTTTAATAGAATAGAATTAATTTCGCAAGTACTAAGATTTAACTGTTGGAAGAAGAAAACATGTTTCCTTGGCATTTTGTTAAGTCTTTAATAAAACAGTCACAAGTACTAAGTAAGATTTAGAAGAAGGAAACATTTCCTTGGCGTTTGATGTTGACGACGTAATGGCTCCTATCGTGATTATCACACAGTTTGGGCTCACAGGAGTTGATACTAATACATTTCACCAGCACTATTTGTATCATCCATGCCAATTCGAACACTATTTGACAGTTATTCCAACCTCCAATGCTATATAATAATAACAAGAACATGAAATGACCGGATTATTGTTATAAAGTGCCCCCGATTATCGATGATATTTACCAGTTATCGATAAACACAGTTGCAGCAGCCCAGTCACACATTCTTACCATTCATTCAGCGAATGTCAACTATGTAAAGCACAGCGTGAATTGACATGGATAAGTCAAAACAAGAGACGGACATATTTAATGTAGAGCACAATTACATGCTTGTGTAAAACGTGAGAACATATATGTGACACGTTTATGTAAAATGGATATTATTATTAACATATCCGACTATGTAAATCAATATGATATAATATTTTAATCCCACCGCAAATATTCTCTAGCCACCTCATGGCCGCTGCTTAAAACAACTTGATCCTTCTGGCCCCACCTCTTCTCGCTTTTTGTCCATGATATATTATCAACTATTCAACGAAGGACGGATATTAGTAGATTCTACTAATCTAATTCATTGTACGAGAGCCTTAGAAATATGGTTTTTATAATACTTGTATTAATAAATCAGAATGATGATAAAATTGAGAGAGAATCCCGTTTTACCTTGTATCAAAATGATGCACACGTAAGGGTTTGGCGTCAGCCAAAAGAAGCGTATGCTGTCGACTGCTTGGTTCCAACTTATAAGCATTGGGGGGATGTTTCGTCGTCAATAATCGGCCCAGACCGTGTTTTAATAGAAGGTAAAAATTAACGCAAATGGATATATAGAAATTCTGCAAAAAAATCCATTGCCTTTTTTGAGTCAAATACTTACGTTTTCAAGAAGACAATGCTCCAATTCATACCGCGTTTTTTCGTGGCCTTGCACACGATTTTTATGCAGTGTTGTGTTACACCGAGATTTTTGTATGTATTTGCCGACAGAATATCCGCTGGATGACGATAATCATAATAACAGACCACATAGCCACACACAGATCAAAAACCACCCAACCCGACAACCTCTTTCTGCAAATAAAAATAATAAAATGCTTCTAGTATACGATCCAAACAGCAAGATTCTCGTAATCGACTCTTTCAACTCTGAAACTACGCAGGGTGACGAAATCAGGGCACAGCTGGGGGCTGAGGGCGATAACATAACCTTCGAGGACGTAAATCAGATTTCTCAATGTAAGTTTAGCGTCTTGGAATACCTGCTATTCTACTTTTTTTTCCTTGACGGGCGTTGCTAATTATTAATTTCTCTACCCTACAACAGCGTCACTCTCGTCTCCAACATACAATGTCATATACGCGAACCAGTACAATACACCATTGCATCCTCATTCCAGTACAACTCTTCGGAAATTGTCTTCTTCCCTAGTACCAAATGGCGCTTTATATCTCAAGCAACCAGTTCTTCTCACTCCGCAAAACTTGCCAAATGTACCAGTATCTCGTAGCACGCAAGATCTCGTGGGTGAACTAAAACTTGCTGGGTTCGTGGATATTGAAATTCGAGACGCTGTCAAAGTATCCCGAGAAGATATTGCTAAAATGATAGAAGCTTGGCAGGTGAAAGAACCGAATCAGAAAGAGGACATATTGCGTGCATTAGATGGCCAGTTACATATAGTCGAGATCATTGCTAAGAAACCTGCCTACGAAACAGGTGCTTCATTTGCATTGAAGTTGGGTAGTAAGAGTGGAATTAGCGGAGGAGACAGGAAATCTATTTGGACTATGTCTGCTGAAAATGACGAGTTAGAAGATGAAGATGAACTATTGGATGAAGATGATTTAATTAAACCAGACAAGAATACATTAGTTCGTAAGTATAGTGTTACTGACCGCTCGACGCTACAAGGGATTTCCACCTTGGTCTCTGTTGAGTAGTACATACCGTTGAATCTCTAAGGTTCAGCGACTGTTTATACAACCGTTTTATTTATTTTAACGAAAGAATATGATGATCAATACAGGGCCTGATTGTGAGACTAGTGGGAAGCGAAAAGCATGTAAGAACTGCTCGTGCGGGCTGGCCGAACAATTAGAAGCCGAGGCCAAAGCACAGACCACAATACCTCCGGCGTCTTCCTGCGGCAACGTAAGTATATCTACAAAATGGAGTTTATATTTAGAAGCGTGAAGAGTATCTTTAATTACTGATTCTGTCATCATATTATTCGCTCTTATTAGTGTAGCCTGGGAGACGCATTCCGGTGTGCAACGTGTCCTTATCTTGGTATGCCATCTTTCAAACCTGGTGAGCAGGTTGTTCTTGGCGGCAACATGCTGAGCGATGACATTGACATTTAGTAAACGCACTACTGGGTGCTAAGCTTTTTATGCATGCAAAGTTTGTTAGGAATTTATTTAATGGTGCGATATATCCTTTTATAAAGAAAGACCAAACCAATGGTGGGAAGATAATTACACGTCTGGACGAGTTACACTGTTACATAATGTTGAGCGAGAATCCATTCAAATATAATTTGTATACGCAAGGATTTAATATCATAGTAAAAATAAGTAAAGGACAACGAATACGTCATATATAAAATCTGTGAACATGATAGCATACTGATTCCTCAACATCTTGCAGACTCTTGCACATTTGAAAAGATCGAACAACATAATCGCGATAATGTAGAATTTGTTACTGTAGTAGTAGATTATCACATTTGTAATATTGTACAAAGTAGGCTCGTCGATGCCTTAGGTATTTCCATAAAATTCATCATGTTTATTATTTTGTTGTTCTGCCTCATTATTATCTAAAAACCTAAGGATAACGTGATAATAATACGTATTGATGAGAGAAAGAAACCTTTACCATAAGAATTCTATCATTTAAGTCACGGGATATTAAATATTTATTACCATATTAGTAATATTTCTAGATCATCTGATTTACATAGTATTACCCCCCTGCAAAGCAGCCCATGTAACAGTGCTGATTAACTTTTTCTTTTTCTCTTCATGAAATGTTCGTTCTATTCTAATTTAAAAGTTTTTGAATAAAGTTTGTTGATCATAAAAATGCTTGGTAATTAGAACATCTTCCTTCCCTTATTTGTTAAATATCGTGATACAGATCTTAGAACTTTTTTTCCCTACCTTTTCTACCTTGATATACGCAGAGCAAACACAGGTGTATGAAAATAAGTTGGCCTCTCTGGTAAACGGTCAGACCATAACAATCATACCCGAGTTTACGCTGTCGTCTGGCGTCAAAATTCGACAAGTTCCCGTCGCATATAAAACATGGGGCGAATTGAACGAACAAAAAGACAACGTTATGGTAATTTGTCATGCGCTAAGTGGAAGCGCTGATGTTGAAGATTGGTAAGACGCGAACTGTCGATTTTGAGATTCTGTTGGATTAATATAATATAAGCATATTCGGAGCATTTATTTTTGTGTGTGTACTTTTTTTTTTGTTTTTGTATTTTATTTTTTTTTGTATTTTTTTTTTTTAGGTGGGGACCTTTGATGGGTAAAGGCCTAGCATTCGATTCATCAAAATTCTTCATATTTTGTGCAAACGTTATGGGATCTCCTTACGGGACAGCTTCATCAGTAACTATAGATCCCGACACTGGGAGACCGTATGGACCAGAATTCCCGCAGACTACCATTCGCGATGATGTTAGGTAGAAACATGTTGGGTTTAAATTGTGTTTCTTAGTAGGTTTGCTGCTATATGCCCGCTTAAATATTTTACAAAGAGAACTATGTATTCATTCTACTCATTTATTCCACATTTCGATTTGCTAGACTCCACAAAAAAGTTCTCGATATGCTGGGAGTAAAACAAGTTGCAATCTGTCTCGGTGGATCTATGGGCGGCATGCAGGTTCTCGAATGGGCTTTCTTTGGTCCGGATTATGTTTGCAATATAGTTCCTATTGCGACATCTGCTCGACATTCGGCATGGTGTATAAGCTGGGGTGAGGCTCAGCGACAGGCGATATACAGCGATCCTAAATATCTTGATGGATACTATAGCCCGGAAGACCCTCCGGCTACTGGTCTGTCTGCTGCACGTATGTCTGCTCTTCTTACATACCGATCAAGAGATTCGTTCGAGTCGAGATTCGGTCGCAAGTATAATGATCCAAAAAAACATCCCCACGAGTATGCCCCTAGAGTAGCGCCTTCTACTCCGGCTGAGCATGCTTTGTTGGTACACAATGATGGAAACAAAAGCGAGAATATTATGAAGGGCGTCTATTTTAACAAAAGAGGCGATAACAGTAGCAGTAGTAGCGAGGGTGGAGAAATAGCCGACGGCAAGCATCGAAACAATGAGCATTCTGTTGCCGCAGTACCAAATGTATTCTCCGCACAGTCTTATCTTAGATATCAGGGAAACAAGTTTGTGAAGCGCTTCGACGCGAATTGTTATATTAGCATTTCTCGTAAAATGGACACACATGATATTGCCAATGAAAGAGGAGAAATAGAAGAAGTTTTGGGCAGTATACGACAACCGACTATGGTTATCGGTGAGTTGCATGCTGTATATATGACTTGTAGTTTTCTTTATGTCATTCTCATATATAACCCACGTGCACATTCGATATCCAGGTATAGAATCAGACGGTTTGTATACTATATCTGAACAATATGAACTAGCGAAAAGCATTCCCAATGCCGAGATGGTGACAATTCAATCACCCGATGGCCATGATGGATTTCTCCTCGAGTTTGATCAAATCAATCGACATATTTTGAGGTTCATAAGAACTCATCTCCCCAGATTTGCACGGAGTAATAAAGATGAAGTGGGTGCGGACATTAATGAGCTTAAGGCTACGAAGAGTAGTTTGTTTGGTGAAGCCGAGATGGACGATATGTTGAAATGGTGAAATGTTTGAATAGTACTCGTCAACAATGACCCTCAGATTGGACTTGCTCTGCGTTGTCAGACTCGTGTACTATAAATTAGGCGATATATCATGTCTTCCTGAAACAACAGAAGGTAGACATTCTTATGTACAAAATTACAAGATGTGTTTTTGAAATACTAAAAAATTTTCCGGCTATTACTGAATCCGTTATAAATTTAAGCTACTACTTGAATCAACTTTGGTCTTTGTGACGGCACAGGTACGATTTGGTGCGTCCTTTGATATGTCAAACTATCATAAGATCCATCGTGCATAAGCATTTGCCACATTTTGCGGTTGAACTGATCGAAGTTGTCAACCGGAAGAGAAATTACAACTCAAAAATAAAGTCTGGCGCGTGAAATCAGAGTTGGTTGATCCGCTATATACACAGTGGACTGGATATAACGGAGGAGATGATGCAGACATTTTTCTTTGTTATATCCAGGATTCGTTATAACCAGGTTTTGTATAATATTAAATATATCTTTGATGCAGCAAAAGCTTTGTTATATCCAGGTTCCTGTGTAACCTATCGGATTACGAGCAAAAGTTCCCTATTACTATATACACTGTAAATTTATAATAATTGGTAGATGGCATGTTCAGTTCAGACATTAGACTACTTTGATTCTACTGTATTCGCTCGAGTTTATCGGACTTGACGCGTAATCAGGCGACTATTTTTTAAAAAAGATTCTCAGACATGGTAGTGGGACTCATGATAGCCTTTTTCTAATTGCTATAATCCCTTTCACATATAGTCATATTAGAACAATTTTTGTCCTTGCCATTTGCTGACTCACGGCTCGTGTGCCATAATCTTAATCAGTCGGCTATGAAATGAACGACAGGCGTTTATTACAACAAAAAAAAAAGGGTGTCAACAAACAGTCACGACTACAGAACGCAAATTTATTTGAAAAGTTAAATAAAATTTTCGATATCTAATTCTAACCCCGCTGCCAAACAAGATCATATCTTTTTTTTATAAGCAAGATAAATCTTTTTCATCCTACTCTTAAGTTGCTTCAACCTACATTATCAACATTATAGACGAGATAGGCTAGTACGAGGCTTCTTCTCGTTACCTCTCATGAGGGATTTCGTTGATTAATACCCTTGTACATCATACATACTCTAGCCTTCACGTACATGTATACAATATCAATCAATTGTCTAGACGAATATTCCTGAAACGCATGAGTTTTCTGGATCGGTGGAGTTACGTATAATTTGTTGCTGCACGATTTAGCACATTTATTTATCTAGAAGGCGATAATAAGAGTGTTAAATAAAAAATCAATGACAGTAATAGTTATAGATAGTAATTATAACAAAATAGAATAGTGTATTAGTATGTGGTTACTAACATGTTTATCTCGATGCTCAGCCTCAATTCTGAGAACTTTCTTTCCAACTGTTGGTTAGGTTGGTTATAATAAATCAGTTCTTAATTTCTTCTATTAGACGTCTAATAGCAAGGAATCATACACAACTATGCCCGTTCACTTGGAGCTGTTAAGGTAATTTGTAGTTAGATAATTATTGTAACCATTCCATTACATTCTTAGTAATCCGTCTGTCGTATTGTTTTTGTTACCAATTGATAAATAAGCCATAAATTATATTATCAATTGAGACTTTATCCAAAGTATTGCGAACATTCACGTCATTAATATCATTCAGAAATACATGTCAGTGTTTATTATAACCGTGATAATAATAATCCGAATTATTGGAACAACGCGGTGATAACCAATAAATTACATTTTAATACATCTTACATGATAAAATGGAAGCAAATAGTAACAATCCCAATCCCAGAAGCCAACGCTAAAATGTCTTTTTTGTACCTAATTTGTGAATCCAACTGGCTGAAAATCGTGCCAAGTTATATATATATATTTTTACCCGCCTTATTCAAGTGCCAACATGGAATATTCACACGGAGGTGACAATCACCTATCTATATCAGGATGCTAGAAATACCATTGGCTCGTGACACGATCCAAGCACTTCGCTCTTTCCCGTAGCTGGTAGATATCAATTAAACGCTGCATTTCTTTGACTTCCGCATCAATACAATCGGGTATTATGATATACAAAGATTTATCGTGTGAACTAACCTCGCATTCATTTCGTTGGGGAAAGTGATTGTAGTGTCCCATTGTGAATTATGACATACATGTGTACTTTTTTATGCGTGCAAACCTATTACTATCTCTATTACTATGGCCTCATTATTTAATCAAATTTCGACTAACATACAATATGCATTCACCAACAGCCATATCTGCAATTCTGCGAGTCGAAAAGGAAAACAAATAATTAGCAATAATTAGTCCTTACTAGAGGCAGCTAGAGAATTAGATAAGCAAGTTGAACGAGAAGAAAGGGTACAGCGATATATAGCGATGTGTGGCGCTATTGTTTGAACAGAATTGTTAAACACATCGATCGACTACCTGCGTTAAGGGTTATTGTTATTATTATTATTATTGTTACGTAAATTCTCGATTCATGTGACTTTATGTTGCCACTAGGAATGCATAACAATAAATAAACATCATTGTAATAAAATAACATTACATATCTGTCTCTGATTCAATCAGACTCGCAGCGTTCGTAAGCTCGTTTTGGTTCTTTTGGCCCTGCATACACACAGCGAATTGCAGACGAAACGCCAATGCCCTCTTTCTCTGTTCTTAACAGTCTCTAACTTTTTGACTTGCGTTTCATCAGTAAACTGTACGACATTCACTGTACATTCCACGAGGTTACTACATGATACACAAGATTCTTTCCCCTTGGAGAAGATTGTAATCATAAAAATAATAAATATATTTACTTATTATCACTTTATCTACCCACCCCATCCTCTCTACCCAAAGCAGTTAACTGGTATTGGCGACCAGTTATAGCAATTGGCATTACTTGACACTCCGATAGGTTATAAAGAAATCATTTCAACCTCTCTCTCTATCTCTAACCTTTGCTTGTTATTTGTGTAGAAATTATTAACATTATTATATTAATATTACTGTTATCATTACTGTTACTATTTTCATTATTGCGATCTAGAGGTCCAAACTCACGTACAAATATTACGAAAAGCATACATGGTTAGGCAATATACACGATAACGACACGCCCCATAACGACTTAGTAGCTACAGCAACTATCCATTGCAAAATAATACACCGTTTGCTATATATCACCACCCACGACTTAGACTAACGAACACCTAGCACTTGTAATTATAATAAAGAAACAACAAAATGGCTTTTAGACAGGCCCGCATTCGCGTCTCTCCGGCGGCACGCTGGAGCCTGTTAATACTTACGTTTATTATATTCGCAGGAACAAATACAGTCACTGCTCGTAAGTTTCTGAAATTGTGTGCTAATAGAGTAGTTTATATGTTTTATATGTGCTATTGCACGTGAGCGAGTGGCTCAGTCTTGGCCTCGAAACTTACAACAACAGAGATTGATAATGCTAACCAAATTACCTTCCTCCTCCCCCCTCAGAATCTTGCTGCTTCTCCGTCAATTCAATGTCAACAGGATCAAATCCAAATGTACCCGAATATCAAATAAATATTACTGCCTCACACAAAGACTTTAAACGCAATAACCAACAATACACGGCACTCATCTCATTTCCACCAGAATACCTCATACAAGGTGAACCATCCTCCTCGTCTGCATCGTTCAAATGCGATCGGACCACACCAAGTAGCTTCACGTGCGAATCGCATTTCGATAGTAAATTTTCGGCCTCATTTCACGTATCGATGCCAACAGCCATATTAACGCAACCAACAGCATCAGTAACAATATACGGAGATACATGTGAAAAGGAACAATATTGTAGTGATCTGACAGTGAGCGCACAATCAAATAATATTAGTTTGGGTCCATTTGGAACTTGGCCAAAGACTGCAGTAATCATTGCTGGAATAGTATTAGGATCGATAATATTGATCGCGGTGTATTTATTATACCGACGTTCACACCCAGCTTCAAGATACCTTGACACTTCAGAGGCGCCATCCTTCCCTGATCAAGGTGCTGATAAATCTGGCTCTGCCTTCCAATCCGGAACTCTGTTAAACTTTTCAACCGCCGACACTCCAAAAAAACGTAAAGGCTTGCTCAAGGGCTTCTTCCCGCGCAACGAATCTTCTTTGAACACTGAGAAAACAATCGACAGGTCGGTTGCTGCGAATAACAATGTTCGTCAGTCGGTTTCCGACCTTGGGTCAGGGTTGTCTGGAAGTGATTATATGCCGTTCTCGAGTGTCGTTGTAAATATGGAGGAGGTCCGCGCGAGTCAGGATACGGAAGAAGAAGAAGAAGAAGAAGATGATGATGATCGAAGAGGGAGGTCAACTGAAATAAAACGATTGCATGATCGCCAGAATTTAAGGAATAGTAGGCGTCATCCGCGAAAGAACGAAACGGATACTCGTGACTTAGATGTCTCAGTCCCCGATGTATACGACATTTCTCAAGAGAAACGGACAAAGTCTCCCACAGTACCACATTCCAATACCGAACTATATAAATCGAGCTCGCGTCGGGGACAACATGTCCCGGGAACCTATGAAGCTGACGATAGTAAAGCGGATAGAAGAGTATCAACGTTGAAGACTGAATCTGATGAGCATAGAATGAATAGAAAAGTATCAACGGCAAAACGCGGAGCCCATGATAGTAGAGTGAATAAAGAAGCATCAACGTTGAAGACTGAAACTGACGAGCATAGAGCGAATAGAAAAGTGTCAATGGCAAAACGCGGAGCCGATGAGAGTAGGGTGAATAGAGAAGCATCAACGTTGAAGACTGAAACTGACGAGCATAGAGCGAATAGAAAAGTGTCAATGGCAAAACGCGGAGCCGATGAGAGTAGGGTGAATAGAGAAGCATCAACGTCAAAACGCGAAGCTGACGAGAGTAGAGCGAGTAAAAGACACCCAACGTTGAAGACTGAAACTGACGAGCATAGAGCGAATAGAAGAGTATCAACATTAAAGACTGATACTGACGAGAGTAGAGTGAACAGAAGATCATCAATGTTGAAAGCTGAAACTGACGAGAATAAAGCGAATAGAAGATCAATGTTGAAAACTGATACTGACGAGAATAAAGCGAATAGAAGATCAATGTTGAAAACTGATACTGACGAGAGTAGAGCGAATAGAAAATCATCAATGTTGAAAACTGATACTGACGAGAGTAGAGCGAATAGAAAATCATCAATGTTGAAAACTGATACTGACGAGAGTAGAGCGAGTAAAAGACACTCAACGTTAAAGACTGAAACTGACGAGAGTAGAGCGAATAGAAAATCATCAATGTTGAAAACTGAAACTGACAAGAGTAGAACGAGTAAAAGACTATCAACGTTAAAAATTGAAACTGACGAGAGTAAAGCGAATAGAAGACCATCATTAAAGTCTCCATCGACGTTGAAGGAAGACGGGCATACACATACCAATGTCCATTCTCATCATTCACATCGCGATAGTGACGAACCTACAAATGAGGTTGCAGACGTTCGTCGGTCCAGAACAACTCACACATCGTCTAGCAATCGTGCTTCACAACCTACCCATTCCAAGTCTATGCGTTCACCTCATTCCCGTACATCAAGTCGTCGAGAAACACGAGACCGCCCGCATAGTCCTCCGCATAGTCCTCCGCATAATGCTCGGGGAAGCAACCCTCATAGCGAAGACGAAGCAGATTCAGATGAACCGTTATCTGACCAACTACCATTGGCCATGATATCTGGTCAAACGTCGCCGGTGGGAAATTTGTTGTCACCTTTGAAGGAGAGCGATGCTGATGGCGATCAAAGAGAAAGTGGAAAGAAACATGTTAGGGAAAGAGGAGAAGTGTCCAAGTCATCGATTGGGCCAAGAAGTAGTATATTAAGAAGTGGCAAAGATGAATTTAGGGAGAGTACTCGAGATAAAGATAGGAAGGGGTACTTGGATAGCGCCTCTCGGGAAGTGGACCAAAGTGACAAAGTGCCTTCTAGAAAAAGAACGCAACAGTCGAGAATAGGCGATCCAGAATCTGTTGAGGTGCCAAGTGATGATGACGTACCTATTGCCAAATTGAAAAGTGTCATCAAGTGATGATGGCGATTTGTTTGTTTTTGTGTACAATTAGAGTGTGAGTTAGCCGGGCTGGCGGGGTGGCTGGGTGGGGGGGGAGCGCGTTTGTCGATTTCGTAGATATTCGGGATATGAATTATTGTGTATGTTTATTTCAATTTGTAGACTAAGAGAACTAAACGGCTTATATAAGAAATTATATTTCTTTTTTCTTTTTTTTATTATTATAATTGCTTGTTCTCTTGTTATTTATATTATTATTATCCGCGAAAAAAAAAAATGTGAATATAATAAAGCAGACTGGTAAATACGTATCGAGTTAAGACATTATTTCAACGCGTTATGTCTTTTATTTACGCCGTTACACAGCCTCGATTTTCTCCCGTGTGATATTAATATTTCAGATGAAATTTTACAATAGTTATTCCTTATACGGACCAATGTCCAATGTCATTTAGCCAACAGTTGTTACACCATCAATCGTCATTTTTCATGTATAAACCTTAACTGGTTTACTGTTTACTATTACATGCGTTAGCATGTAATACAGAGTTTGGTACTCTCTTCCCCTTAACCTACACTCGAAACCAGAATGCATAATGTTGTTCACTTTACAAATTCTCCCCGGGACATTTACATACTAATAATATAATAAGCGTAGCTTCTTTAAGCTCTCTCTCGTTCTCTCTTTTTTTTTTTTTGAGAGTCTTTATAGTTATAGCTGCAATAAATTTAACCCGAGTTGCACAATCCTTTTGCGAGCTTATCTTTCTGCGTGTGTTACGTCGAGGCGCATCAGAATGAAGGTTCGTTGGGACTTGCCAAGCAAAATAATAATGTCGCGGGAGTGAAACCAGATACCATTCTTATTATTGTAGACCAGTTTGAGAATGGTAATAGAAGAGGAGGGGGAAAATACTATTAGTAAACCCGTCACAAACTTTAACGTTAAGAGGAGCTTAATTTTGGGCAATACGTGTAAATTGAGGAAGTGATTTCGGATATTTTTCGACACTAGTCCAAATTAGTTATAATCGACGACCATAAAAGTGTTGGGAAAGTGTCACTATCACCATAATCTTTCACGTCAATTGATGTATATCAGGTATTCATAGTAAAGTTAACGGGGAGACTATTGATAGTAATAGGAACAATGTATAAACAAATAAATTCTAACCATTTTTGGGTCTTAAAATAATTAGTTTAACAGAATGTAACGTTGAACGTTGTATGATCGTAGGGTATTTATTATTCATTTTGTCCACAAGCATTTTCTCGAATTCTCTAATGTGTCACGAATAATCAAGGTTTAACCTGAATCTCGAATCCAGTGAAACACCCCCGCTCCTTACGAAACACAGCTTGTTAATTATTGTCGTGCCGTTCTTGTAATTCGAGACTGATTTTCTCGGGAACCTTTATCCGCTTTACTTGCATGTACATGAGAAATTTATTTAGCATGCATGTTAGCCATTATGCAAGACCGTTTAATATTTCTGCTGAGATAGGGAATCACCTGAAATTTTTGACGGTAATATAGGATGTATAAATCGTGACGGCTTTGCGGGATATTTTCGATGCTTGATTGCATATATTATTATTATAGTAAAACAGCGTCATTTATTTATGATATACTGCGGGTCAACACAAAAGTTGCTAAAATTTAGTTGTACTAGACTGCTTTCGCGTTTAAGTTACTTGACAGTCAGTAAATTAATTAGATATTATAATAATAAGTTTGTTCAATGCGCAAAAAGCTTCTGAAGGAAAGATGTTTGAATGGTTCTTCGAATGATCTATCTTCGGATGGCTCTTGAATCGTTTGAACAACGTCCTCTATTGTAAGCGTATTGCTAGATTGAACCAAATTTTCAAGACTTCTAGTTCCATAGTTAACTGATTAAGAGAAATTGCAACAGGCATTCCTATATTCTTTCTCAAATCGCTCCTTGCCGCTTCTTTATCACCATTGGGATTTGCAAATTTTTAACATCTCGTCAGAAATTCTATTATCTTACTGTTATTTTTAGTACATTATTCCAAGGTTCAATTTAATCTTACTATATATAATGACATTGGAGTAGAAAAAGGTGAACAAAAAGCAGCAGGGTTATACCAGAGTGCAGTAAACAAGCACATATGTCAGTGCAAGTTAAAAACAATAAGAATTGTAGCTGCATGGATGGGTCATATGTTGATGTTACTTTTGTAACTGACTTCTATCAATCAAGAGCTAAAGAAGGAAATGTTTATTCATTCTTGGCCTATATTATGAAAATGGAATTGGGGTAGAAGCAGATATTAAAAAAACACTTGAGCTATATGAAAGAGCAGCTGAACAGGGATTTGCTAAAGTACTAAGTAAGGTCTATATTTTTTATGAAAATGGAGTCAGAAGTAAAGAAAAAAATAAGGGAAAAGATTGAGTTGTATAAAGGTAGTAAATATGTTTGGTATAGAACACTAGATATTATATGAGCAAAATTACCATTAACAGATTGGAGATAAATTATAGATCAAATACAAGCTATGGAATTTTCTGTACTAAGAACAATCTTGAAAAGATTTAATTTATTAAATAGCGGGTGTATTAAACAATTTATAATAATGTGATAAAGATGTGTTAGTTACGTTTTTATGGAATGCGCGGGAGAGTGTTTGACATTCTAGGGATACTCTCAAATTTAGCAATCTTGCTTACATGCCCCATCAATTAAGGTGTAACTCATTCTTGAAGGCGGCCTTTTATACCTCCTATCGCTAGGCGTAAACTCACGCTCGTATGTTGTGTTAAATTCTTGATAAATGGAACTGTCAAGCCAACAATCGGGGGGAAGAACAATCGATCGTTGACCTTGGGATTCAGCTATTTTCGAACGGAGCTGTGGTTTTCCCTACTCTCAGTAAATTCAGACGAGTGACCTTTCAAACCAAGCTTTACTACTCACGACAAGTATCGATCAGTAGACACTAATCATAGACGGTATTCACACTCAAGTAAATCGACTATTTTTTCAAATAGTGTTGGGGTCTAATTATAGCTACTGTATCTAAAACGCGTTATACTTATACGAATAATAATCGTAATGCTACGAGAATATTAATATTCCTAATTTAGTCGTTTTGCAACTACAGTCATACTTCGGGGCGGAGACTTTTTTTGAGATATAACTGAGTATAATAATGTCTTAAATAATATGCGCATTTTTGTACAAGAAATTTTATTGGTTAATACTGTAAATACACTCTGTTAATGAAATTTGGCGTCTACTGACTCATCTAAACGACGAATTATATCGCGCGCGTGAATCTTGTAATGCTGAGATGGAAAAAAGGTAAGCGTTCGGCGATTGGAGGGGAAATTTAACAATAAAGCTTGGTTGTTAGGCTGGGCGGAGATGGAGTGAACAAGCTCATAGGATAATATTATGGAATTAAGACACGTCGTAAATTTATTTCAAACACAAATAATTTTTACAGCTGCTTTTTAGAAATAGCGCAGACTCAAGAATGAATATATCAATTCTAATTTGGGAAAATTTTCTTCATTGTTTTCAATTATAAATACACGTCCGTTTTTCATTGATTAAGATTAACTAGATAGTATTTGCTCAAACTCTCGGCCATTACTTTGCACTGTTGATATAAACGAAGCCGTCTTGGCATATATGTGTATGGCAATTTATTTCCGTTGTTGGATGCCGTTAAACTTGCATCGTTACGGGGCCGTTAAGGTTATGCAGCAATATCATAAAAAGAGTGGCGATATGTCTTTAGGGATGTGAGTGATGATTCATCACTTGCGTGGAATGACCTAAGGTTTTAGTTCTTACAGGAGTTTCAGAGATATTCTTCAGTCGGAAGATTTGAGCAGGTGTGGGAACTGCTTTTATCGCATCTTGTCTATATTCTAGTCATGAGGTGGCTTGGCCAACTGCATGGGGCCATTTGGAAAAGAACTGGTATGAAACAAGTCATCATCCGGCGGTGCTGAAATGCTTCGAACCGAGCTCGAATGTTGCTACGTATTTTATTCAGGAACGATTAG